TTTTAACTGGGAAAAAAAGAGAGTTCTCGTTTATATTTGTTCCAAATATCAGAAACTTCGACAGATGGAATCTGGTCCCAATCCAAACCAGATAACCACAAACGCTGTATCAAATGTTTAGTGAAAAAAGTCACCGGCGAGAGAAAACCTAACGGGTCGAACGCTCTAGCCAACTTCGATAACATACTACGTTTGGTACACGGTTTTTCATGCGGTTTTTCAAGTGCCTCTACAGAAAAACTAAAACAATCCATCGTAGGGTTCCATTCCAAGCCCAATATTTTTAGTGAAGCAGAACTTTCTTCATCAAACGATAATGAATTAGTGCATAAATGATCCTCCGAAATCATCTGCAATAGTCGCGCATCATTGGCTGCGTTCAGCAGACGATACAGTTTACTTATTTTCTGCTGAACGACAACTTTTCTCAACGTTGTTAAAAGCCGATGGATGCATTGGCTCATATTGGTGAACTCACCGCTGCAAAAAAGAATTAATGACACATATAATCGACTACGAACGGTTTGCTGCAAGCGCTGGATACAGCGCTGAATAAAAGAACACGCCTACACCTATCTCTACTTTTGTGATATTGGTACTTGATTTCAAGAACATTTTAATAATAAATTTAAATAAATATTTTGTTTTATTTGAAATGTTCATGTCTCGATTGAGATTTTACTATGGCCTCAATTTCAGCCATTACACAAAGTGCGTCCACGGATTGACTTAATTATTATACTAAAAAAAGTTATTTTTCTTAATTTCTCAATGTGAATCGAATTTATTTAACAAGCAAAATAAATTATGAAGAATTACTTTTTTAATTTAAAATAAATATTTTCACAAGTATAGTTAAGCCCATCCGTGTAGAACTAATTCACATTATAACATCTATAGAACGTTTCAGAGCAACTTTCGGGGTAAGTACCGTAAAAGTGCTAGTGTGATGTTTTTAGAACTTTACTTTGTAACCTCTGTGAGATGTGTTATAAAAGTCTTGCCGTTGCGGACATTCGGCGGTTGCAGTGATATTAGGATTACATTAAAAGTACATGCGAGCTTAAATAGCCTAAAATTGCAGCTTATTAACGTAGATGGGATGTTTTTGTGCTAGCTGGGATGTGCCCAAATTTGGAAGTAATAATATTCGTTTTTCATCTCTCCTGAGAAATTTATAATTTTGCATTTGCGTCATTGTTTTACCAGAACAGCGATATCTTGCTGCAATTTTCTACCTACAAACAAAAAATCATCGAGACTTTTTTTGACCTCAAACTCTGGCGGAAGCGTTAAACACCACTATGAGTTTCGTCGACATACTACTAGGACGTATTACCGCATGATGAGGAATATATAATACTGTTGATCAGATAAATCTCCAGTCAGAATCTTCTCCATATGATTAAGTTCCAAATATTCCTTCATAAAAGCAGAATACTCTAAATATATTTGGTGTTGACGAAGTAAACGACGTTCTAAAGCCAAAAAATTATTAATAGCCAAATTTCGAATACCGAAAAAGGTAGGTGAAGGCAAAGAAACAATATAACGCCCCTTTGAATTTCTATGAACAGTCTTCTTAAAATGATCTTCACACACAGCTCATCCTCAGGAGAAAGACATTCAACTTGAGGCCCAGCCTCATCTTCCCAAAATTTCTTCATAGATTCTTCAAGAGAACCAAATATTTCATAAGTATTACACAACAAAGCTGAAACGGCTGTAGTAGGATGATCAATCTTTCCAGTTAATACGTAGCCAAAGGCAGTATTCAAAGCAACTAGTACCAGGATGACCAACAATTTTTTACCGTCTAATAAACTTTGAGCTAATATATCCGCTCCTATAATAAGAGATCAATACGACCATGAGTTTGGAATTGAGGATCTGCCAGTTTCAAATTTGCAGGGTAGGCCTTAAGAATGCACAAAAATTTCTGAAGTAGGCAGATTATCACAAATTTTAGGTAAAATTAAAGTTTCAAAATTTAACACAGGTAAGGACTGACCAACAGGTTTTATAGAAACTCAAGTACGGCCATAACTGACAGTCTCTTCAAGCGAACCAATGCCCATTGATATTCATCGAATGACCATATTTTCGTAATCCCAAACGATTAACACAATTTTGAGAAATAAAACATGACGTACTCCCGCCATCTAATAAGGCTCGAACTTGTTGATAGCAGCCTGAAGTATCGAGTACGTCCACCACCAGCAGGGACGCCGAGAGCCAGACCGGGCCCCAGGACAATTCTCCAGATCGGGCCCCGCGACAATTTTACAAAAAATTAAATAACATAAGGTCTTCAAGCAAAAATGTCTCCTCTTCTACTTGAATCTCTCAAAAAAAAGGTCTTATCTGAGAACTTCCCCCCTCTTCTATCGAACTTCTGAAAGTAATAAACACCACCGGTGCCGGGCCCCCCTATACCGCTGCCGGCCCCCATTTGAACAATCTGAAAAAACAAATCCGACTCGAAGGACCAAAAATGTACGTTCCCGCAAGTAGGAACAGTTGATAGCCTAACCAGTAGGCAGAGAAAAATAGACTGTATATCTTTCAAAATTGTTCTAAGTAATAGTTAAAAAATAAATGAAAAAAAATGAAACAGTTAAGAAAAAACGATTGAGACCAAATCACTTACCCAAACTACATCTAGGGGTGACGTAAGAGCTCTCCTTAATTCCGGTATCCAAGGGATAATCCAGGCCTTTTCCTACCAAAGGTTTTTTATTCTAATTTTACAGATAAGAACGTTTTGCACCAACAATTTTAAGTTTGCCGGTTCTCGGTACGGTTTATTTCGTACTGACCTTCTCAAAGGTCTTTTCATGGTACGAATCTACAATCGTGACTCGGTCTCAAAATGCGCGTAAATATATTTGAATCTACTAATAGGCAACTCAAATTACACGTGACTTGATGAATTTGATTAATAAATTACCCCACGAAATGACAAATAAACATTTGAAATGATTAGGATTCAACACAAGTATTATAATGTCGCGCGAAAGCCTACCCTGTCCGTTGTTTACTCCCGCGATATGGAGTCTAACGGCGCGCTGGCAATGTAGAGACAATCAGACGCCTCTCGAATATACCAGAACAAGCGGAGGTACGTGACATTGAGTCATAGAGATGGAAGTCTAGGACATTCCACATCATCTCGAATATTCTGGATACAGAGTTGGCTTGATATAAATATCGCGAGTGTGAAGACGGAAGTCGGTCATAAAGTGGTAGAACTAAAGGCAAACCGTAGACACGTGTTTCTGACTATTGGTCTTCATCAGTACGGTGCAGCCAAGTTCAAAAGAGAATGGAACTAGCGATGAAATAATAATAATAATAATCCTTTTATCTTTTATATATATATATATATATATATATATATATATATATATATAACTGTCACCGGTTTCGGCATAAAACCCATCATTTACAACCCTTGTAATATAAAATTCATCAATGAAGTTGTAAAATAGTAAAAAAATCGTGAAAATGTCTACTTATTATACAACTAGATGCTCTTGGATAAATAATAAAAAAAAAATAAAAAATAGTTGGCATAAGATTGGCTATAAATGACAGGCATACAATTTTAAAAATAAATGCAGATTTTCATACTTTTTATAAAATATTTGTACTCGTATAAAAGGTTAAAAATGACCGTATTTTATAAAATACTTTCAACTTTAGCACATTTTTAGTAAACATAGTGCTATTTTTATTGTCTCATTGTGTGGAATTAAACCACTTTCGGTTATTATAGATATTTCTTTTTTCTCTTCCATATCAAATATTATAGCTTGTAGTACTATATCGGGTATTTCACAAGTTAAACTGATTTTCCAATTTGGTTGTTCCCACTCGAATTTAACAAGTACACATACACACCACAATAGCATAATATGTTCTAGGGAAGATTTTGAAATATCTAAATTTACAATATTAAACCTAAAATTATAATCGAGTTTTTGGACATTTGCAAATGAATGTTTATTATTAATGTGATCTTCAATTTCGTATAGCTTGAAGTAACAAAAACAGGATTTAATGGGACATTTCTGTAAAATTTGATTTTTACAATTTCTTTCATGTAGATACAAGTTACGGAAATTATGAAATGCTCCACAGCCCCAGATGCAAAACAACAAAATGTTTTTTAAATTTTTAATTGGGAAGATTATGTCTTTGAACTGATTTCCCAAATATGAACAGCATGGAAAACATATCATGTTATAATGGCCGTTGTTTTCTACCAAAGGTATTTTTGTCATATTGCTTGTGTTTGTAAGACGTGCAGAATACAATAATGAGCAAATGCAACAACCCAATGTAATGGTATATTTTTCATTCGATGAATTTGTAAATATAAATTTTGATTTTCCAATAATTGAAAAATCTACAGCAGATTCCTTATTCAGAAAAATATCACGTTTATGAAAAAAAAGTGTTTTTAAATATCCTTGTGTCATGTTTGCTATCTGTTTATGAAACATAACATTAAAATCAGAATTATTTTGAGGTACAGATTTCACATTATTTTCTTTAACACTTATTTCGTGCCGTACCATACTGATTATAGCATTTTTTGGTTCAATGATATTTAAATAAAACATTACCAGCAACTTTGACTCATTAATAATATTTAAAGTTATGTTACATGTCAAAGTGCTCACGGAAATCAATTTATTTAAAATTTCGGTATTTTTCTCAAAAAAATCGACTTTGAAATTATTAATATAATTCTTTTTCCCCAAATGTTGAATGTTTAATGAAAAATTTCTCAAATTATCAGCAATTGAGTTAGAGATATCACAGAAGTTTACAAAAAATAAATCACAATCTAAAAGATACAAAAAATGTTTTTTTATATTCTTTAAGTCTTTTAATTGAAAATAAGGTGTTTCTAAAATAGATTCTGGATGATTGAGTTTAAAATGACGAATCATTAAAAACGTAAAAATATCTTCTGAACAAATTGGACAAACATGCTTTTTGGATAGACATATTTTTTCATGTTCAACTACTTCTGAAATTCCTAACAGTTGTGTACACCCATCAAACTTGTTAATGCATTTGAAAAAACTTATTCTAGCAATTTGGTTATACATGGAATCTACACCAATGTCCTCTTCCTTACTGGTTGTTGAACATCTGCCACATTTTATTCTTCTATTTGGATACACTCTGACGGGAGTTACTGATAAGTATTTGTGACAATAATCGCATACTTGTTGATTTAGAATGTAATCCGAGATAACAAGGCTTTCTCTTTGGCTCATCTAGAAAACAAAAATGTAAACTAATTAAAAATAGTATTCCAGTAGAAACAAGTAGTAAAAACAAGATTATGATTATGGTAACTTGATTTTAAACTAGGCCTGCCATCACCTAAATTGCCGACACTGGTCAAAAACTTTAAAACCTCAGACATATCTGTGTTTGTAACGTTTGGAGGGTGGGTTACCCCCACGGCATTTAGGCCTCACTAGGACCATTGTGCATCCTCCTAAGATGAAAGGCACCTTCTAGCTCGTGAACCAGCCTACAGATTTAATGTAGTTGACAAGAGTTGCTTCTCTTATATCGGCCGGTCTTAGCCGATACTCGCCGAACACAAATCTTCTAATAAAAAAGAGCGTCGGGAAAGCATAGACGATATGCTCGATGGTCTCATTTTCTTGCTTGCACCCCCTCCAGAGTGCAGATTCTAACAACCTCATGATATAGAGATGCTTCCCTATCAGGGGACCTATTTTCAAAGTATGGGAGCACTCATTTCTTTCAAGATTCTCATCAGAAATGTCATACGGGCTCTTAGGGCCAGTGTGAATTCACTGACAGAGATAATTTAAATTCTCCTAAGAATTTTAATCCTCGAGGCCTTTAAAAACATCGTTTCCACATTGACATGTGACATTTCTGATGAGAATCTTGAGAGAAATTAGTGCTCCCATACTTTGAAAATAGCACCCCTAACAATGACCAGTCAGAATGCCTGTGACTAAGCGCATATTATGTCTAGTCACAGTCAAATATTTGTTTGCTGTAGTGTTGTCAGGGTAACTTAAAAGCTCCCTGGCAACTCTGCAGTTTCTCGTTTCATCCCATCTTTCCCAGACATTTGGATAAAATTCAATTTTCCCCGGACATACTTGAAACTTTTTTAGAACAAAAATAAACATTTTCAGTTTTTCATTAATTTTACCAGCTTCTTTGAGATTTAGCAGTCGGGTATTTTAGCTGCGCGCCAATTTAATGTTTATTATTCAATTTATCGAGTTTCTCCGACACAATAAGGGTTTCACACTTTTTTGTAACCCCTCCCGGACGCAATCCGAACTAGGACAAATCAGTGAGATGGCAGCCCTACCTTAAACACCCATATTCGCATTTTTAGCTCGAAAACTATTTAGGAAAATAAAACTATAATTAAAACATGGTATTATCAGAAGATAATGATTTAACTCTTCGTTAGTAGTATATAAGTCTGTCAGAGCTCCATTGTGTATATTTTTTTTTACTGTTGTCGAAATTGTAGTTCTGATATCTCAGGCATTGGCTAAATTTTATGGACCGCACTCAAAGCTCTCAGAAAGTCGAGACACCGCTATGGGCTTACTTATCTAAGCTACTGTCTATCTACAAACGACGCACATACAGGTATTTGCACGATCTACGCGGCCAAAATTATTTTTTTGCTTTGGCATCTAAACAACGTAAATAAATAAAATAAGTTATTTTTACAACAAATTTATATTTTCTAAAAATAATTATATATTTACAAAAAAAAAAAAAAAAAATACAAAATTTCTTGACAATATATGGGATTCTGCAGATACAAACATGGCCAAGGTTTCAGGCAAAAATGTTTTTGCTTTCCTTTTTTTTACATTTCGCATGCTACTTATTAGCACAGGATCTGAACTAAGCAGAAGGCGATTTAAAAATGTCCTGATTACAACTTTCCCTGGAAAATTTCCTCGCAAAATCTTGTCGGTAACTTCTGAAATGTTTATTGCGAGCCTCAGCTGATTCCTCGGAAAGCTGTCAGATTGGTAACAATGCCTTTTCAATAATGACTGACCATGCACTAAAATCTTGTGCATTGTTGGCGTCATAGGATGTCAGTCATACAACTTAACATAAAGTCGAGCAGTTTCTGAAGCATATCTTTCATAATTTATCGGATCAATTTCAAATCCGCTTGAAATTGCTTCCAATATGACTTTTAGTCTGTATATCAGTTCATAGCTAATGCCAGTTATTTCTGCAGCTAAAGAACCTTCTGCTAGTATTTCCATCATGTGTATTCCCGAAATTGGATTTAGGCATATCTATTAGTAAACCTGTTTCAGTGCGGAACCTTGTTTGCATCTCTCTTTTGGTTTGATCTTCTAGGTCTTTCTACTCTTTCGATTTTCTTCCCCTCTATTTTTCACTGTAAGTTTATATGCTAAGTGCAGGATGCATTCAAATAATCGAATTCTAGCGTGTAACACAGATATGCCGAATTCAAGGGCTGTAAAATTCACTTCTCCTTTGTAATCCAATTTATTAAAATCTTTCGAGGTTGCCCCACATATGTAGCACCTACTCGTAGACTTTGTGCCTGTAGCTGCATTGCAGCCCTTTCCATCTACCATGGTCATGATAAATTTGTGCTTGATTAGCAACTTTTTCCCTCCTAGGTCGACCTCTGTTGGGACTTAAGAGGTAATAGCGCTTTTGACGTGTGTTATTTTCTCTTCAGTTACATCATTAGTTTCCTTAATAAAACGGAATCTTATAGGTTGACAAAATCGCGGCGAAGAGGGCGTTGGATTATTCCATAAAACTTTATTATTTTTATCTCCAGAAACTAATTGAAGAGGTACAAAACAGCTTTGGAATATGCTTGAATCCGAATCAATGTCACTTTCTAGTTTATGTTTGAACTGTGATTGTTGAGACCCATCGCAGCCCCATTTACTAATTATAGTTAGGCAATCACGCTCTTTCTCCTTTAAAGTTATTAATACCTCTTCTAGGTACTCCGATAAATGTCTAAAGGTAACATCCATTAGAGGCTGTGACTGAGCTTAGGCACTGGTACTCGTTACCATTAACGATTCTTGAGGTGGGTAACATTTCTTTTTGGATTTTTGTAATGCACTAGAGCACGGAAAAAACTTCTTATTGGTTTTTCTTGTGATTTCGTACTGTCCTTGCGTCAAATAGGCATCTATAAACATTTGCAAAACTTGCATTGGTGTCAAGGAGTGCTCTTTACTTGATTTCGTAAGATAAGCCTTTTTATATTTAGTTGCTCGTGTCGGAGAACTGGTGATATCTTTTAAGACATTTGATGCATCTTTTTTATCAGATTTTGGCCGCTCCACTTTCGCAGCATGAATTAGAACGCAGTTCTTTGGAAGGTCGACCTGGCCGTTTTTGTGAAGCCCCAACGACAGGTATTTCAAAAGTACCTTCCAGCCAAGATCGGTTGTATTTTATAAAAGTATCTTCTTTATAATGATCTTTGGTCCACCTTTGTTTAATTTCTGATTTGAAATCAATCAATAATCCAGGAATATAATGAAAGGAAGTTAAGGGCAAAAAACGTAATGATGTTTAATATGCCAGAGCCTAACGGGAATAATATCAAAAGCAAAATATCTGAAGATATCGCAAGTGCTAAAAATATACTTGCAAATATCATAGAACCCAATAAAATTAAAAAAGTGATAAGGGTTGGAAGGATTGGTGCTAATCCAAGGCCAGTGAAAATTATTTTCGAGTCAAGTGATGATGTTCTGCATATTCTTAAAAATGTAAGGGCAATAGATACTCATGGAATCAAGGTAACATCCGATCTCACTCCTCACCAAAAAACCTACTTAGATAATCTACGAAAAGATTTAGAGAGACGTAAGGCGAATGGGGAAAACAAAACAATTAAATATATTCGAGGAACTCCTCAAATTGTTGACCAAAAAAACTAAATAACCCGGGTACCTCATATAATTGTTCAGCAATTGATGTTAAACAATTTCGTGTCTTTTATCACAATGTTGGCGGTATGAGAACAAAGTTAAGAGATCTTCATCAATCAGTCGCCTTATGCAACTACGATGCAATCATCTTGTGTGAAACCTGGTTAAATTCGGACTATAGTGATTCTGAATTGGGTCTTAGTGATTTTAATATTTTTCGTATGGATCGTTGCGATCTACAAGATAATCATTTACAACGTGGCGGTGGTGTACTTATTGCTGTAAGAACATTATATTCAGCCAGTTCAGTTCCAGCCCAAATAAATATGGTAGAACATGTTTTTGTCCAAGTAAAAACAAATGGTAAAAACATCCTTTTGGGATGTTGTTATATTCCTCCTTCCTCTAGTCACGAAGTATATCAAACTTTTTGTGACGGCGTAGTTGATGTTGTACTTGAGAAGCCCGATTGTGATTTGGTGCTATGTGGTGATTTTAACATCCCTGATGTTACTTGGAAGAATGATAACTTAGGCTTAGAGGCTGAATATTCGAATAACTCACCTGCTAAAATTATAGTTAATAATTTAAGTTTTTTAAATGTTTATCAAAAAAATGTCATTGCAAATTCTAGACTAAAAATGTTAGACTTGGTATTTTCACAAATTGAAAATTTAATTGTGTCTAAGGCTTTAGATCCTCTTTTTCCCTCAAGCATACATCATGAGCCTTTAGAAATTAATATAATAACCCATGACTCCCATTTAAATCACATTGCGGAAGAGTGGTATTTTGATTTTCGAAACGCAGATTTTTTCAGCATTAACAACTTTTTTGCAGACGTTGAATGGGATGAAATGTCTTTGTTAGGTGCTAATGAAGCAACTGAATTTCTTTATGACCAAATTTATACGGCACTCAATTTATTTGTACCAGTGAAAAAATATTCATTATCCAATTTTCCTTGTTGGTTTAATGTTGAACTTAAGAAATTAGTAGCTGAAAAAAAAAGAGTTCATAAGAAATACAAGCTATTCAATCAACACCACGATTATATTCTATTTAGTGATTTACGTAGGCGGTGCAAGGAACTATCTGAAGTTTGTTTCAAAGAATATAACAGAAAGATGGAAAATAATATTAACACTAATCCTAAATATTTTTGGAGCTACATAAATAACAAAAGAAAAGCCCATGATCTTCCAAAATCCATGACCTCTAATAACTCTGAGAGCTTCGATGATATTGTCAGCATTGTGAATGAATTCGCCAAGTTCTTTTCATCAGTTTTTTCTACCGACAATGTA